ATATATATATATATATATATATATATATATATATATATATATATCTTTAATGATTTATATAAAATTCAACAGTGTTAACTGCTATCTTGAATTATATCATATGTTATTATTTGTTTCCAGCCGCACATATTGTGTAACAGAGTGGATCTGACGCTATTTGAATCTGTTCAGCTATGAAGCCTCTGTGGTCTAATGGTTATAACGCTCGTCTTGACAGCGAGAGGTCGCAGGTTCGAATCCCGTTAGAGGCATTTTATTACACTATTTATTCATATGACAGCATTCGTTGAGAGCTTTGCTACACGATGTATTATCATGTCCTTATTCAAACACCGTATTTACCTTTCTTTGATGATTTATATAGCCTATACTTTAAAAAAAATTATATATATATATATAATATATATATATACATATATATACAGTGTATAGTGTACAACTTTATAATAATAAATAGCGCAAATTTAACAAAAATAAGCATAGGTAAATATTGTATCTACTTATCGGACAATACTCGATGTATCGTAGTTTCTAAATAAGCGTATATCTAATATAATATGATTTTCTGCAAATCGTATCTGACAGAGACTATGTATAAGGTAAAATATATATATATATACCGGTATATGTATACAGTACTGAGTCACTGCGCTAATAAAGAATGCAAAATCCGTAAGCGTAATATATTATATTTTAACCTACCTTAGAAGGCTTATAGGATTTACTGACTATTTCCGTTGTACTCAATATTCATTCGTTTGACCTCACTAGAACGCGTTTTTTTTTATCGTCATGGTCAGATTTATATAGAAAATCTTTTAAATACTGTCTGCTTGTTACAGCATATTCTTAATACGCATACCTTTGACTCAAAATCTATTTTGATGAAAGCTAGTTATGTTAATATGCTTTTAGCAGTGTGCAAGACATACTGATCTTGTTTTCATTATATTTATGTATTAGTGATTTGTAAGGCTTTGTCTAATTGTATGGACATAGAGAGGTTGGATTAACTTTAACGAAAAAGTGGGAGGAGGAGAAGCTGTTGTGGGTAAATTGGCTAATTAATGAGGAAAGCATCATAGTATTTAATTATCTATTCAATCAAAATTATTCAACAAAACGATACAAAATCAAGGAGAAAAAATGACCAGTGGCAGATTAAGCGAATATACATTAAAAGGAGTTAGTTGCCCCTCATTATTTAACTACAACAAAATAATACAGGTAGTATAAATAAAAAAAATAATCTGTATATATTATTACAGGTAGTATAAATAATAACATAATCTGTATATATAAATTTGTTTAAATGTTTACAAAAGGCTTATAATTTACAAATGCATACTCAATAATCATACTATCATTCAAAAAATCAGTTAAATGTCTGCAAAATAACATAATAATTATTAATTAATAATAAAACAATTGCTAAAAACATCATCGGTCAAAAGGTAAATACAGTGTTAGACACAATAATAAGGACATAATAATACATCGTGTAGCATAGCTCTCAACGAATGTTTATATATATATACATATATATATATATATATATAATATTTTCTTGTTCACATTTTAGCTTTT